AATATTATATATATATATATATATATATATACAAGGGAAGAGTTCGCACTTCAAGACATGCCAGGTGACACAGAAAAATGAAGATTGAGAAGTTATTTAAATATTTCCTTTGGGAATTATCTCTCTCACTACAGGCTTAATCAATTCAACCGAGTTCCTAACCCCAAATTGACCTTTAGAGTTTCCATACTGTAACTTTTAACATATTTTGTGCATCTTCATGAAATTTTGCAAGCTTTCATTAAACATTACAAGTCTTTTGTACAGAAAAATTTTTAATTTTTAATTAATTATTTTTACTAAAATTTCTCCATGAATATATGGAGTCAAAGTGTTGACTGCGTGAGTGCAAAGTGATTTTCATGTAAATGTACAAACACTTTTCTTCAACTGAAAATTGTCAAATTATATTTGCATAATCTCTTAAACCTCCTAAATAAATATCATATGTTTTTCTTCAGTAAAACTTTGTACTTTATCTGTTATTTTATCTACCCTAACTCTGAACATATTCAGTCAATTTGTCTGACCTCGTAACCACCAGAAAAAAAATCTAAAAAAATCTAAATTACCCTTTTTTTCTTTCTAGAATGATTTCAAATTGGACAGGAAACTACAATTGTTTATCCTATATAGCATAAAGCTCATAACAACATGCATCTGTTTTTACTTAAATTGTATTGTTTTCTTGCTCTTTGAACCACCTCTAATTAATAATCTCACCACACAAGCTGTAAATTACTCAGCAAACGTGAAACTTACATTAATGTATCAAATTATGTAATGCATGAGCTACTCACAAGCATGCCTCATGAAGAATATTTATTATGATTTTTCTTTATCTTACCTAATCTAACCTTAAGTTTCTAATTTCTGCATTTTAGTTGTTTTTATAACAATAAATAAAGAATACACATGAAAAACAAGAAATAAAGTACTTACCTGGGTCTTTTTTTTTTGCTTTTGACTGTTGATGGAACTTATACAAACTTTTTGATACTAATAGTTCTACTACTCTACATAATTTTGTATTTAATTAAATAATAAGAACACAGAATAATAATACACAAAAGGCAAATAATGTCCTATAACACCTATCTAATTCCATGTTTATACCACGTGGTTCAGTTGTGTTTAAGCATGCAAATCCTGTTGATTTGCCTGTACTTAATATCTCTTTTGTTTTTACTTTCTATCAAACAATTAACATCTACAGTATTCTGCTCAATTTCAGTATTTTTTACAAAACACACAATACTGCTCAGACAATATAAAAAAAATACTTATAAACCATTTAAAACCTTAAACATTGCATAGTCTTCAACAAAAATCCTGTCATCAGCATTCTTTAAGGCCCAATCACCATTTTAACCTTTTGCTTACTTTTACCACAGTTAACAAAATCCTTGTTGTAAGTTTACATAATTTTTTTTATTGTTTTTATAACCAAATGGTCCTGTAAATCGTCCATCCTATCTATCAACTTAAACAAATTTAAGCTTTTATCCTTGAGTTTTCCTTTATGTCTCTAGTAAGGCAATTGTGCTTGATTTTCCTTGTTTTTCTTTTCCTCTTTTTAAACACATGTCATGTTGAATTAACATCAATATATTTTCAAAAGTTTTCCAATTCTGTCTCTTTTTACATTATCTCAATTCACTAATGATACACCATGTCTCATGGCCTCAACACTTGCTGTGTAAAAATAAGGAGCTATATTTTCATTTTTAATGATATCATCATGTAGAAAAACAATAAACCTAGTTATAAAAAGGTCACTTTTCCCCAAATATTCTCTTATTTATAACACTGAAAACATTACCTGCTGTTTTCTTCTTTCTTTCAGTGGAATGTAGGGAACATAATCATCATCATTTGAATCACTACTACTTTTCTCTTCACTTTTGTTAAGCTGCAAAAAAATGCTTCCATTATCACATATTCTCAACAAATATGCTGCTTAATAAACATTATTTTGTTTTGCAACTACATTCAAAACTTAAACAAAACATTTCCATTTTGTAGATGAGGAACAGGAAAGAATTATAATATAAACAGTCAAAATACTACCTTTACAAAAACGTGTAATAGAGGATAAAAAATATGGACAATATAAGCCAAAGAAGCATAGATTATACAAAGGTTTAATTGCTAAATAATATCATGACTAGATAACCATTTTATTGTTAAGCAGTTGTAGATTTAAATGCTTTATTATTAAGACATGTAATTACACATAACTCTAATCAGTTATATAAAAACACCCTGAGAGATTTTTTAGTGTTCAGTTAGGTTATTTTCTACAGAACAGAAAAACTAGATTATGATAATGATGTACATCTTTTGCTATTATCATATCTTGCAAAATATTGTAACATAAAATCAGGTCACGTCAGTAAGTGATAAAGGTTAAAAACAATATAAATAGAAGCCTAATAGCATATACAAAAGTATAAAAAGTGTTATAAAGGATACCACTTTTGTATATTTTAGGTTACATTTCATTTTATTCAGCTCCTTTTAACACACAATTTCAACCTGATATACCTATCTTCTGGTCTAATGACCAGTTTGACATTGAAATTTATCATTCAACAATGTATGTCATACCTTCATGGTATCTGGAGATTGGGCATAAATTAATTTTTAGAGGTATTTTGATACTTATCACAATCTTAATTTTTTTGGACATTTTCTTACTAGATTATCTGGATTATCAGACTTGGGTATGTAAGTTACTTCCTCTAATACAAAAATTAAAACTTTGCTGTTACATATTATAAAATATCTCACACATGATTACCATTACAAACATAACTGACTGACACCAGAGCCACACTTAGATATTTTGTGCCCAGGCAAGTTTCATGAACTGCATCCCTCCCCTTTATATAACCAAACCAAAATAATCTTTTAATTTTAGGGCTTTTGTGCCCCCATTCAGGTTGTACCCAGAGCAGCAGCCCTCTTACCCTACCCTAGCTGCAGTCCTGACTGACACCATCACTCAGATTGGTGTGCCTAGGGTTGCCACGAAACAGTTCATGTCAGAAACTAAGAGTTAAAAAACACAATGATGCACCCTAGCCCCAAAACAAAGAAATAAACTGCATTCTGTTCTTAACTGAAGTGGAACACTGGATTTTATAAGAACCTCTGAATGTAGTATACTTCTATGAAGTACATAAGACTAAGAGGTGGCACCTGTACTATAAATGTGAACTATTAACATTAAGTCAGTGAAATTGTCGACTGCCTATTTTTTTAGCTTTTTTTTAATGTGAATGATGTACATAATCATAGTTTTGGACTCTAACTCTCGATATGTGTAACAATAACATTTCGAATTAGAGTTAACTGGTACTGATACATAATCTTTACGGTGAAAGTTAATACCGTATATGATTATGAATAACAACTTAAATGATACTAATAATATTATGATTAGCTTCAAAACCAAGGTTAACTGAAAAGTAAGGCAAGTATGAAATACATAGAAAAGTAGTGACGAAATTCAAAAGATTCTGAATTTTTGAGTGAAGCGTTGTATTTTACTTTTACATCTAGCAGCTTAACACTAACTGTGTTATTCACTTATTGTTAAATTATTGTGCAGTGTCTAGCGGCTTAACACTAAGTGTTATTCACTTATTGTTATATTACTGTGCAGTGTTATAATATGAAATAAATACATTTAATGTTAGGCATAATCCACTCACACTCAAAGTTGTATTGTGGAGCTTCCATTTACGAATTTATGCTAATAAGTTATATAATAATACATTTATCCAAAATATATTGTTATTACGCTTACCTTTCGAAAATGCTTACTATTATTCCCCCTTTCATTTGTAATTGTAGGCTTAACAATTCTTCCTTTTAAATATTGACCATCACCTTCTGATTTTGTGTCCATCTTAATTCTTAAAATATCCGCAAATGAATGAAGTTATTACTATTAGTATTTTATTTACTTTTGGAAATGTAGGGCTCAACTTATATATGCTTTATTTTTTTCCAAAAGGTAATCTGAGGTGTATGTTAGCATTTTAAAATGTAAAACATTTTACCCTACTTCTCCAATACTTTCGAGATATTCTCTTACGTTGTGGCAAATTGATCTACCCTAAAAATTACAAAGCGATGAGAATAATGAGATTATCGGATAGGCTTAGCGCACGAAGAATACATTTTTGTTTTATGGTTAGGTGCCTGAAGTTTCAAGAGTTGCTAACATTCCTCCTGTTTTTAATTGGAAGAGGAGATAAGATTTGCCAGTATACACCAGCTAGTCTTACTATAAAAGAAGCTATTTAAAAAAAAAAAACATTATGTGAATTATAACATTATAAAAGATAGCCAACATAAATTCACTGAAGTAAAATTTTGCCCTTTCAGCGGTGGAGACGATATAAAGTAACGATCATTCCCACTATTGGTTGATAAAGAGTAGCCCAAAAGTTGGCGGTGTGTGTGGTGTTAACTAGTTGCCTTTTCCCTAGTCATTTCATAATTAGGGTCGACTAGTGCAGATAGCCCTCGAGTAGTTTTGCGTGAAATTAAAAACAACAACAAATAAACAATCATATACCCCACTGTTTAACTTTGCGCTAAAATAAACAAACAAAAACAACTAAAGTGTTATTTATTTATCTATTTCTGGTTGTGTTACTTGTTATATGGATAATGGAAAAGATGTGGACTTAAATTTTCAAAGGATTGGCTAAAAAACTTGTACGTATTTGTGTTGGGGAAGGACTAAATTTAATAATAGCGTGGTTGGGTGAGAAAAGTTATTGTGATTAGTGGTGCGCCTTAAGGATCAATACACGAGCCTTTGCTTTTACTTATTTATATTAATGATAATTGTACGAGAATAATTTGTAAAAGATTAGCCCAAGAGTTGGCGGTGGGTAGTAATGACTAGCTGCCTTTCCTCTAGACTTATACTGCTGAATTAGGGATGGTTAGCGCAGATAGCCCTCGTGTAGCTTTGCGCGAAATTCAAAAACAAATCATACTTTGAACCATGTCCAAAAGTAAAGACATGGATACCAACACATCTAAGACTGCTAGTTGAGGACTGTGCAGAAATCTAGACTAAATATAATGGAAGCAACTCAGTTACCTGTTGGCAAAATGTGTTAATGTATTCATAGGATTGATTGGTCGATTGGGTGAAACACAATTACATAAAATCATATAGATACTGGTGATGCATGTCTATTTAAACAATCACTAGGGAGTTAACCAGTGCTGAAGTACAGTGGATGTCAATAGATGGAATAATATAGTTTTCAGAGAGTGCTTGGTCACCTCCAGTAGTGGTTGTCATAAAGAAGTAAGGTATGCCCAGGTTTTGCATTGGTTGCTCGTATTGATGCTCTTCCATTACTAGAAATAGATGAATATCTGGACATGTTCGATACTGGATACTGGAAAGTCGAGCTGTACGACAATAGCACAACAAAAAAGTTATTTTAGAATGATAGGTGGTTTTTATTAGTTTCGTGTCATGTTGTTTGGCCTGTGTAATTTGCTTGCTGCTTAAGAGAAGTTAATGTTTCTTACACTGAAGGGGCTGCAATGGAAAAGTCCATGACACTGAAGACTTGGTGTTTTATTGCAAGTTTTAGTCTGTAGCTGAGAACTTGAAAATGGTATTCCAACAGATAAAAAAGGTAGGCTCGAATGTGAAACCTAAAAAATATGTATTCATGCAAAGAAGAGGAACTGCTTAGTCATATTTCAGGTAAGGGATTAACTTCCATAAGTCATACTAAAATAGCAGCAGTGCAAGATTGTGCTAAACCTCTGACCAATCGAAAAGTCTACAATTTCCTTAGGTTTTGCTACATTACCAACAATTTGTAGCAAACTTATCCAAGGTTGTCTTACCATTGTCTCCTCTTACTAAAAAAAGAGACACACTCCAGATGTAGTTAAGAATGCAAGCAAACATTCCAATGCTTTAGTAGGAATTCCAGTGAATTTCTGCTAGAAAACATTGCCAGTGGTAATAGAACCATAAAAGCGTTGTCGCAGGGCTAGAGTAGAATGTGTAATCACAAATTCTAGTTTTACACTCACAGCTCCTGAAAGCAGATACTATATGACAAAGCAAGAACTGCTTGTAGTTGTTGTCTCTGTAAAATACTTTTGGCACTACTTATATGGTGGAAAGTTTACTGGTTGAGTTGAATTTTAATAAACCCTCAGGATAACAGTGTTGATGACTTTGATTTAGTCATACATTATTTTTTGGGTCCCCAAAACAGAAGATGCAAATTTATTGTCTTAATACATGTTGAGACCCTGCCCGTTCATTAGATGTTTAGGTTCTGGACATCATGTGGAAGTTAAAGTCATTTCTGCCATACTGATTACAAGTAATGCAGTAGGAGATTCCACTAGTGGATGAATGCCTTGATTAATGCTTTGAGGACTCTGGAAATAGCAACTGAAGGGTCTAGATTTAGTGTGAGCACTCTTTGCTATGCAGAAAATTAAAGCACATCTGGTTCAGTTTGAGGAAAGTATAATTAATGCATGTAAAATATTACAATTTAATGACAAATTATGAGTACATGAAGGTGTGCTTATCACAGTTATCCATCAATGAGCGGTGGTTTTCAGTTTTTGTTACAACTAGTATTCCCCATAGCTTTAAGGCACGGGATTCTCAAGACTTTGATTAACACAAAGTGGAAGGTACCTATAAGGACTTGTGCTAATGTTCGATAGTGGTTTTTCTGACCGAATTCGAGTCAAGATGTTTTGCACTGGTGCGAAAACTTTGCAGTGTATTCTACCCAAAGAAAAAAGCCAGCCGAAAGAGGGTAGACTTCAGTAAAGAATTGTTGGTTTCCCTTTGCAGAGAATAGCCCTGGAAGATGCTGTTTCACTTCCAGAGATTAACTCACGAGCTATGGCAGCCAAGAGATGCACAAAAGTGCCTAGTTTATGATGATTAGCTGTGTTCATACATGACTAATGAACCCTTGTGAAATGGCTTGATCAAGAAGCATAAAAGGAAGTAGTCATGCCAGATAAAAATAAATCATTGTTTTATCTCCATGAGACTTGAATATGAGGAGAGAGTGCTGATGAATGTCGGATGAAGGAATGCCAGATCTAGAAACGAGACACAATTTCTACTGTCTTGGAACCACCAATGATGGCCTTGCAATCTATTTGGCTGGGATTGAATTCAATCAAGAGTTAGAACATTCATTTGGTTGAGAATCCAAGGAAGTGTTAATCCTTGCTTTCCAAGCTATTAAGGGAAGTGCATTGTACAATGTATGCACAGTGTAAAATATTAGATGTAATACCTAGTGTGCCAACAGTTTTTACAACTAGAAATGTTAGCTAGGAGTTTGAAAAGCTCAGTTGAAAAGGCATCAAAAGGGCTTTGCAACACTTACTTTCTGAGCTATCAAACCATGGTTCAACTGTCAAATACTGGATGATAGCTACTTGATTAACAAAGTTTAGAATGGGTGGTACCAGCAGATGTAATAATTTGTGCATGAACAATTTGAGCAACTGAAATTCATAGCTATGAGTTTATAAACACAGTTGAAAGGATGTTTTGTGGCCCTTAAAGGATTGCTCTCTGAGTTATCGAGTGATTTTTCTGAGCTTCACGAGAATTATTCACTTTATATGTTTGACTGGCGAGAGCTCTATGGATAATACTGGATAATCCTCCATGGATCTTTCTTATGGTGCTTCTTAGAAAAACTCCTCTACATGCACTGAGGAAGTTGTGTTTTGTGAAAGTAATAACTAATATACAATATAATAACAGCATGAATAATTGAAGCAATTGGATATTTTTGAGGGAATTTTACAATTGCTTCAGTATTTTTAGCATTTTAAAAGAGTTTAAAACAGTTATAAAGATTTTCTGAGTTTTTTAACTGAACACATACATGAAGAAATGACATAAGTAAAAGACGCCTGTGTTACAAAATAAGGTCAAGAGCTAGGAAGTACAGGTAGCTGGTTAAGTGGTAATGAGAATCACGAGTTAAAATTTATAAAAATTGAAGCTACAACAGAGATGCTGAGAAAAATGCTAGCCATAAGTTTGACAGTGATAAGTTACTGATGCCCAGTTAGTAGTACAGTAAAGGCTCATATCAATGCTTTGATGTAAGATCTGTTACTCTAGACCAGTGTAGTAGCAGAGCACTCACCATCACAGTAACCAATTACTTGAAAGTTTTAGTTCTTATTTTGGATTAGCCTTTATTGACCAATAAAGTGTAAGAACAACTTGTGGGTAGTTAGGAATACTATTTGGAAGGTCGAAAGAATACAAAGAAAATATGGTTTAAAAACTCGTGTCTAGAGATAAAAATCAGTTCTCTCCAGGAAGAACTGAGATTCTCCCCAGAGTTGCTGATAATCGAGAAATTATGAAAGTGTACCAGCTGCAAAGATTTACCAGATCAACTGTGTTGTAAGTAATAAAACTATTTCTCTCTTAGTCAATTAATGTGATGGTAAATGGATTAAAAAGAATCATATGAAAGTTAAGAAAGTAAACTATGTTATATGTGAGTTACAATTATCATTGTTGTTAACTTAAAGTGTTCTTTCATGAAGAGTTAGCAAATGATCAAAGAAGTGTATTCTATATTAAGAAACTTGAATAAACTTGATGTATTTTGTTGAATATCAGTCTCAGAATCAGTTTCTTTAGTCTAACCATAAATCTCGAGGTTAGCACCTTGTGAACTCCACTTGCCACTGCAATCTTCAAATAACTAAATTTGGGGTAATTAACAGTATAATCGACACTCCAATGACTAGCCCTAAGGGCGCTGTCCATTACATAATTATTCCTGACTTATGAAAATTTTAGCTGAAAAATCTTAGTTCAAAGGAACTCATTCAACAAATATTTATTTCATGATGCCTGTAAAGAAAAATGTATGAGTTTGGCAGCTTGCAGGAAGCAGTACCTTACTAGAGGATAGCCACGTGCCCATAGCTTCAGAAAGTAACGTGAAATGCATATGAAGTAGTTTGAGTGGTAGCTGGTGGGTATCTTGTGGAAGTTATTAGTATATGTGATAGTAATCCACTTGCTATTGGTATATGTCATGATCTTTTACAGAGGTACATTCAAAATTCAATTAAACTACTTTGTTATCATGATATACAAACAAACTTGACATAAAAACATAGTAAATAAATCAAGTTTAATTTCTTAATTTTAGAAGAAAATACTTAAATAAATCCCCAATCTCTCTTAGTAATAGTATGAGAATCATGGTATTTGTTTTCTAGGTCTTCCTCTTCTCATAAGTACAGAATTTAACATAAATCATTCATTACAATATGG